GTAGTAGCGAGACCGTATTTGTCGGAAGTATGGGATCATTGTGGAGGAAGAAAAGGGAAGAGACAAATCAGGCCGGAGATAAAGTGGAGAGTTCCAGCGCCGGCGACGAACGAAGTTGACTTGAAAGATCATCTCAAACTTTGGGCTCATGCAGTTGCTTCAACTATTCGATGATGAATTAAACACAAAAGCTTGTATTCTAATTGTGTGATCCTTTTCTGTATCTGTTAATTTTGATCATTTCCAGTTTTCAAATCCGTATGAATTAACAAAGACAGTTCACAAAAAAATTCGATTTTTTTGTTTGGGAACATGACCATTGACCAAGAACCAAAGCGTCCTTGTCGCAGAAGAGACAATATATAATGATGTTCTTTGAAGTGGTGGGGCAATCATAATCCAATAATGCTCAACACTTGTCTTATGGTATTTTGCAACGTAACTATCACACAATATTCAAACATTTGTTGTGCATAATCTCGAAATTCTACTAATCCTAATGTTTTATCTTACTATCCACGTATATTACTATCTTATCTAGGCAATGGGATTTTATATACATTATCAACATTAAACTTAAAACGTTTTACACATTTACTTTTCTTGAATCGATGTACGAGACGAGAAGAAAGGGATACAACATGACCCGTACCAAATGAAGTTATTACATTGTTTAATAGTAAGAAATGTACGTACCTATAATATAACTACAAGTGATTCATGTCTAGTTTGGTTTCAGTTTTCTCCTCTGGAGGCAGAGTCAGGGAGTTTGAAGGTGGGTCGCTTATCCACGCCTCTCCGTGAGTATTCCCTCCATCTCCTGGCTGCAGCGGCCGCTCGCTGGGCTCGTTCTTGTACTTCTTCCTCTGTTACAGACATTGAAATTGAGTCTTTAGCTTCCTTGATGACATACATTGTTATTATGATCCAGAGGAAAAGATTTGAACTGTCAATCTTACCGCTTTTCTTGTAATCATTCTGTTGGCCCCAGAGGTTATCCCAGTAGGAAGGTGTTTCGTCTGTGCTTTTCCGCTTCATCATTCTACTTCTAGCTTGATTCTGAAATATAGGTAAGCACGAGGTGATGATGTCAACTGTCATGTTTATCTAAGAGATTGGTACTGAATGGAAGAGACTCGGAATGTTGCAAGGATTTTTGAAGGGTGACGATAGTTCTTACCAAAACTTTTGCTTGTCTCTTTTCCCACCGAGATCTCGCCTGTTACGTATTCGAAGATTGATCAGGGAAAATGTTTAGATAACAGGTGAAGATCAATAGGCTAAGAAAACATGGGCTGGTTAATTGGAAAGTGGGAAGAACAAAACTAAAGAGTAGACAAAGAAAGACTAAGAGCATTTCGGTTATTATCAGCTACTGAGCGGTTTCTTTCCTTCTTACCATTCTGAAAACATCAATGGCTCCTGACCCCATTCCAGAAAGCATCAGAGCAACCTGATCCAATCAATGACAATGCCAAGAGATTAATGCAGGGGTTGCTAGTAACATATACAATCAAGAAACCTTTGCAATGCTTTGTGTTTCTTCTCAAGTGAGTATAATAAGATAGCTACAAGAGAAATGCTGGTCTTACATTCACTCTTTCAACCCGTCGCATTTCATCTTCAAGCAATGACAACTGTGCAGCGGAAATCTGATAGATACAATCAACCGGGCTGACAAAAACAAGGAGATAATTAGTTCTCTGAAACTGTTTACCTAGAACTTCCTGATATAAAACCCATAATCACTTGCAGCATCTACAGAATACAAGCCTACCATGTTTCAACTGCTTGTTGAACTAAATCTGGGTTTCCACGCTGGTTACATGCCCTTGCTCTTCCAAAGTCTTCTTCAATTTTAAATATATCTGGAGCCACATTGGCACAATTTTTGCAGCCTGTTAAACAGCAAACGTAGATGTAGTCATTTTCCATATCATCAGCGCTTTCAAATTATCGCTACCAAAATTTGCACTCGGCCTCAAATGAATAGCATCAACCAAATTTCAAGACATACCTATACAAGCAAACTCATCAACAAAAACATTATCCTTTGGACTGGAATCATCCACAAAAGGATTGATAGCAGTCACTGCATAGCCATGAATTTCATCGTAAACCATACGCTGTACAGGATCACTGAGAATCTGCAATACAACGATAAAATCGGTAAACCAAAAAGCCACATAAAACCTTACAAAATGTATTCAAAGTCAAGTAAAAAAAAACTCACTGAATAGATATCGTTTATGAACATGCAGAAATTTGTGGTTTCAGGGTCATTGCCACTCAAATCTGGATGGCAAGATTTCATACAGTTATAGTATGCTTTCTTAATCTCTTCCTGTGTAGCATCTGGAAGCTATTGAACAAAACACACACAAGGAGAGAGATAGATATAAGTCACAATCTCTGGATCCTAATGATTTGTATACAACTTAGGGATTCACAATTTCGACAAAGCTGTATCTAGCTTCAAAATCGAACTAAATCATTCACTTCGAAATCCCTAATACGATGATCAAATCGGATTGGGATTAGATTTGGTTCCTAAATCGGCGGAAATTACCAGTCCGAGAACGGAATAGTAATCATCGGCGACATCACCGGTGGAAAGAGAAGAAGCATCCTCAGTTGCAACTCTTAACCTTCCGATTGAACCACTTCGTCTCTTTCCGGCGTAAGCAGGTAAGCACCAAGACGAACCACCGCTTGACTTCACCGGGAACCGTGACGCACCTGATCTAGAGCTACGAGACGAGTTCTGAAACTTCAAAAGATCTGTACAAACAGGAGAAAGTAGCTGCGCCATTGAAGGAACCTCAAAAAGCTCCGATCACTACGACGAAAGGAGAAAAAAATCTCGTCAAGGTAATTTCAATTTCATTCGTATATATTTGAATTAATAATTTATTTTTTCGTGAAGAATTTGAGGCGTACGAGGGAGGAAAGCTGACGTGTCAGGATAAGAACCAGGGAAGGTTATTTGGAATCTGAGATGAATCTAACGGCGACCGGCGAAAGCGTGCTTAACCGAAGGTGGCACGTGTCAGCTAGTGGAGTAACGTATCTCTTCACGCTCCTTCAACATTGCGACTAAAGAGTTAAATGACAATTTTACCCTTAAGTGTCTCTTCGTGTGACTTGTTTCCCAAATTGAATACTTTCTTCATCACTCTTTCTACTTTACTCTTTCCCCAAGGAGAAATGGAGATGTGTAGTAGCCTCACTCTCTTGAATTTTGCTTACAAGTTGCTTTCGATGTTTCAGTTTTGGTCTCACGACATAATTGAGATGAGTTTTGGAATTGAAAGTCCAGAACTTTCTTCGATTTAGCGACTCTGTAGCAGCTATCACTCTGAAAGGTAAGTTTTTTTTGTTTATGCTCTGTTTCGTCTTCTATTTCTCTGAGAATAGAAGAAAATTCATGGAAAGTTTGTAGTTAGACTCTGCCTTGAATGAAAAAGAATGGACTTTGGGAACTAAGTTAACTCTGTAGTTACTGTTTCTGAATCCAATCACTCTGTTTCTTAGGGTTTTAATGGATGCTATTAGCTCTCTACCAGATGATGTTCTTGGACGCATCTTATCTTCTCTCTCCACAAAACATGCTGCTTCAACTTCAGTACTCTCTATGATGGTCAATCTGTGCGTAAGACTAAGCGAAACCGGAGTGAAATCCCGCTAAATTTCATCGCTTTCGTGGACAAATTGCTCGATTTGCAAGGAGATTCTCCTTTAAAGAAACTCACTTTAAAAGACCCGTGTCGGGGTTCGAGATGGGGTTGATGTAAACCGTTTTCATAATTGGATATGCAATGTGCTTGACCGTGGTGTTTCGGATCTTGATCTGTTTGTAACTTTCAGAGGAAAATCTATAGAAAGTGATTCTTCTTAATATTAACAAGAGGTATGCGAGAGTATTTATACAAGTGTAGAGGTATACTAGAAAGGAAACATTCGATATACAAAGATATAGAGAATATTCTAACAAATCTCAACCATCGTCTTGTTTGATCTTCAAGAGCAAGACACTGGTTAAGCTGAGATTAGGAGGTGGTTATACACTCGAGCTTTCACATGATGTTTATCTTCCTATGCTTAAGACTTTATGGATTGACTCGGTTGATTTCGACGATGTCTTTGAAAATCTTCTATCTCGTTGCCCCGTTCTCGAAGATTTGGTTCTTCTGGAGCAGCGATGGGTACATTGGAGTTGTTCTGTGTCTTCTTCGTTGCTTAAGCGACTTAGTATCCGGTTTGATCAGAATTTGTCAAGCATTTCGTTTGATGCTCCTAATCTTGTCTACTTTTATCAATCTGGTTGTGTTTTGAATAAGTATCCAATTGTTAAGCTGGATTCCCTCGTTGAAGCTACACTCAAATTTCGGGTTGACGAAACAAGAATGCAGGGAGCAAGAGATGGATATGACTATTGCATTCCAACTGATATGATAAATCTCATCAATGGAATCAGAAATGTTAGTCCTTTACTTATCTAGAGATGCTCTCGAGGTTCATTCTCCTAATTTCTATTTCTTTTCTTATAACATTTTCCGAGTGAAAACTAACAGATTTTTGATATGTGTTGAAGCTGCTTTATTTCTCGTGTCAAGAAATGCCATTGTTCGTTAGCCTTGTTCGTCTATCTATCAAGAGTGACAAGAAAAGAGGATGGCAAATGCTGCCACTTCTGATCAAGAATTCTCCAAATCTAGAAACTCTCATCTTCATGGTATTATTGCACAAACACATCCTAAACGCCGTAGATATCCATATGTCTTTAACCTTAGATTTAAATATTTGTCTCCTTTATGTTTCAGGGTCTCAATCACTACGTAACAAAAAACTGCGGAGATGCATGTGTTTGCAATGAATCCGAGGAGAACATAACGTCTTGCCTATCGTCTTCTCGAGTGATAAAGTGTTGGGGATATTGTGCTACAAAGGAAGCACAAGAGAACTGAACCAAACAAAGCATTTCTTGGAGAAGTTACCGTGTCTCGAGCTGGTGAAAATTTGCGCGGTAAATGACTGTAATAACTTTCAAGTCAACATGGATATGAAAAAATCTTATGATGCATCCAAGAGCTTCACCAAAGTGTGAGATCCAAGTCATGTTTTTGGCAACAAAGAAAGAAATGATCCAAATGGTGTGATTTATGAGTCGCAAAACATTGTCATATTATTATGTGTAATGAAAAATTGTTATGGAAATACTGAAACTCTGCTTAAATCAAAGATCATTTAATTTCTTGTTTCAAACATCATTTTTCCTCCTAAATTCTTGATTATTACTGTCGAACAGAAATCGATTTTGTTCAATATGGGAGATAGTAACAATCCAGATTTGATCGGAGGAAAGTGTTAATTGGTAAGATCAATGGAGAAAGGTTTGTGACAATGAAGAAAGAAGAGATGGGGAATGAAAAAGCAAGATTTAAAAAAGATAATCGTATCAA